CCGAGGCTGGATACGATGCGTCCTCTGGGACCAACGCCGAAGCAGGATGTGATGCGTCCTCCGGGACCACCGCCAGAGCAGGATGCGATGTGTCCTCCGGGACCACCACCAGAGCAGGATGCGATGCGTCCTCCGGGACCACCGCCGAAGCAGGATGTGATGCGTCCTCCGGGACCACCACCAGAGCAGGATGCGATGCGTCCTCCGGGACCACCACCAGAGCAGGATGCGATGCATCCTCCGGGACCACCGCCAGAGCAGGATACGATGCGACCTCCGGGACCACCGCTGGAGCAGGATGTGATGTGAGCGGGTAGTGTTTGGACGGGGGTTGCTGGCGACAGTTCCGGCGTCGACGTCGGGTGGAGGTAAAGACGGCGTCAACAGGGACAGGGGAAAGGGAAAAGAAACCAGATCTGATGGGAGCATGAGAGTACTGATGCCCCGGGACAGACAGAGTGGATTTGGAGGCATGAACAGGAGACGAGCAATGGCCAAAGGTCTCCTGCAGATGCCTGGCAAACTCCCAAAAGGACACCGATCCGGACGGACGCACCGAAATATAATCCATAGCCCACACCAGGGTGTTACCACCCAGATTGGATATCATTAACGAGACCTTTTCATGATCCGAGGAAGCTAGGTCCAAATATCGAGCGCAGGCTTCGATATAAGTCCGGCAAGTTTCTGGGTCTCCACAGTATCTGTAATGGACAGTTGTTGGTGTAGTTCAGGATTCTGCTGGATCCATGTCAGGTCAGATGAAAAGTTGAAAAACATTAAAAATAAAAAAAATAAACTCCCAAGTATTGTGTCGGCGTTGGGTCTAATTTTTTGGCCAGATAATTCCGTCACGAACAGAACTCAGAAGACCCGTGAAGACGCCAAACACAATGAGAGTAAACTATAAAGTCTTTATTAGGATGCAGAGTTACCAGAGTTGGGCGAGGCTGGAGACAGAGTCGGAGAGGAGGCGAGGGTCAAAACCAGATCGGACATGCAGATACGGGGAACAGGCAAGAGGCGAGGTTGAGGACAGGCGAAGGTCGTGGAGGCAGGCAGAGTACAAGGCAGGGGTCAGGAGCAAAAACGGGGTCCCAAGGCTGAAATCAGGCAGGGTGGATAGCTGGGAGATCTACTGGCAAATGCTTTCAATAATCTGGCAGAGACTGGATAGCTGGATGGTTCTTTTATAGCAGGGAAGCAGGTGTGTGTGATGAGCTGAGGAGTCAGGAGCAGGTGAAGTGGATGAAGCTGATTACAGGAACAGGTGGGATGAATGGAGTTGATTGTGATGCTGACTGAGGTTGCTAGGGAAAACAGGGCTTGGCTGGAGCTTGGTGAGGGGACCAGGTGAGCTGAATGAAGAGGCAGAGGAGGGTGAAGGATAGAAAGTCATGACAATCTCATAAAATGGCAATGTCTGGGTTGTAAAATAAGTCTGACTGTATGGTTTAACAAATTATCAATTAATAAAACACACCATCCCCACTATAAACAATGTTGGTAGTGCACTGCTTCCTCCTCCTGAGATGCCGGTTGGTGGACCAGAATCTTCTCGTAGCCTTGCGGAAGATTTGATCCATCATCTCACCAAACTCCTCCTATGCCCAGGTTTTGACCTCCGCGACCACCCGAGCTACATTCTGCTTGGACTTCCTTTCCTGAGGAAGGCATGACTTGTCCACGGTCATGACGTGTGTAATATCTAAATGAACAATCCATCATCAGGGCATCTGCTCTTCTAATACTCACACAAACTGGAGCACACAAACTGGAGCATAAAGACACCCACTCCTCTCACTTTTTCGGGGTCTGGCAAAGCGCTGCAGACACCCCCCATCCAGAGTGCGCTACAGCACCACCGCAACTTTGGCCCCAGAGGCTAAATGGACCTAGACAGGCCAGGAAAGGTTGAGCAGAAAAAGAGAGATTGAAAAAGAAGAAAGATCTAGCCACAGTTGCATGTCCAGGCTGGCCTGTATGTGATCATGTTGGGAGAACCGGGTTAAGGTGGAGTTTTTGGGCCAGTTCAATTATCAAGCAGCGCACAATGCTGGGCGCGTGGGGTGAGGTGGGGAGGCATAAACAGCGGCTGTCAGGAATGGATCATGATGATCAGGTTCTGATGATCAGATCATCAGACTCATATCCTTTAGGGACAGAGAGCAATCCTTTGGGCCGGAACCAGTACCACCACCACTTCTAAATATAACCTTTCAGCAGGTTCTGCCACTTTTTTCTAGGGTACAGTCCGTACCGGTACAATTTCCAGGTATTTATTAGTCGAAATCTCAGACATTTCTGAAAAGATATCTGTGTGTCCTCAAGCACCAGTCATTCACAGTCTGGCATGCGCTCCATTAAAGGCCTGCGTTTTGTAAAAAAGGCGCCGTGCATCACCATCAGCTCAGGCAGAGGAGAAAAAATAAAATTGTTTTCCCACACCGTACACATTCCCGCAAAGACTGACAGCAGCATCAGCAGACCAACCAGTGGTTAAACACTCTGACAGGCAGGTACATTGTAGTGAATTGTCAAAAACTCCAGCGAACCAACCAAATAGAAATTGAGGCCTGCCTCTAATTCTGGCCCTCCTTCCAATAAAGGCCTGGAGCTTGATGAGCTTGAGGAAAATGCAGGCCCGGGCCTGTATTAGAGGATTTACGGTAGTATTAATTCAGACAGAGTCACATATATAGTTTATAAAATAAATGTATTAATTTTCCTAAACTAATGATTATACATGACAAGGTATGTATAGTGATATGTAATGTAGTGGGTATGAGGTGATGTAATGTGATGTGTGAAATGTAGTAATGGAAGCTGGATGACAGAATTTGTGAAGTTTGGGTTGTAAAAAAAAAAGTGGATGTTTGGTGAGCTAAGGATTGTTTATGAAAGTCATCTGATGAAATATGTTGAGCCTACGATTCTCTTTTGTGGAGATCCCCTTTTCAGATCCAGGGAGTCACGAGGTCCAGGTGGACATGGACCTCTCGTTACCATAAACCCGTAGATTGGCTCCAATATGACTTGTCTAATCTTGAGATATCTCCAGGTCAAAACAAGAAGCTGGAATGCTTGATTGCATCCAAGGGTTTGTTTGGCCCTTAGATGAGCCGTTTGGCGTCTGTCTCACTTGCAGCGTACAAAGAGGCTTTTTGACTGGATGTCAAAGGAGATGGTTTCAAAAATTCTTGTTCCCAAATTGGCCAGTTCAAGAGTCAGCTAGAAACTGAATTAATTGGGAAGTAGTTTTATTGAACTCATTGTTTATCAATTTTGGCTCATTCTGGCAAATCAGAATGTGGCATGTTTGAGGGTTTTACCAAACATTCCTCAGAAGCCACGCCTTCTTCAGATACAAAGGTGTTTAACACTTTTTGAATGAGAATGTTTCAAAACACTTATGTGAAGTAACTTTTAACATTAATAAGTATCTTATTGTAATGTGTATGAGTGTAGATTTTGATTTACTTGTTAGATCAAACACATACTGATCTGGTGTAGATGAGATCTGAAATGAATCATTGCAAGAACAGAATTCATTTTAAAACTATCATGGTTAAAGCACAGATTATTCAAACATTTGATATAAACATCTTGTTCATTCAACACATATGATTGTTGTAACCTATAACTGTAAAGTCACATAGGAACTTTGAGTAGGTTCACTTTATTGAGAGTGAGGAATGCAGCAGACTTGCAAGAGGCCTTGAGTGAGAATGTTATGACTCCTCACAGTAGCAAGGACAGCAAAGGTTTGCTTGGATTTGGGTGTCCAAACAGATGGTGTTTCCCTGTCTACATGAAAGGTTTTCTTGTGTGGTCAATATGTAGATGAAAACTGACCACTTGGTCAGTTACATCGTTACAATATCCATGGAGAAGAAACGGAAACATGGATCGTGAGCAAACAAGAAATAAAATGTCAAAAGTGGAGTGTGCTTCACTTGAAACTTTGTGGTGACAAACATTCAGCTGCTGCTGATCATGAGACAGATGAGATGATAATTCTGACCTGGACTGATCTGGATTAGATTTTACAGCAACCCTGATGATCATTCATGAAAATTCTTGTTAAATGTTCATACCTTCACCTCTGGCTTATATTGTCTTTGGTTCATAGCCTTTAAACCCCTATTATTATTATTGGTGTTTATAAATATTATGAGAAAAACATCCATAGATACTGCTTTTGTTGTGATTCTGTTGACCCAGACATTTGGTCTGGTACCTGTTAGTCTCAAGTTCAGGGGATGATGGTGTCTTGTCTATTTCGTCTAATGTGCAGGAGGCTCCTTTAACAGAATTAAATATAATTTCAGTTTATGCAACATAAGTACAGATTATAGCAGCAGAACACAAATATTTATATTTTAGAGCAAAGAATCAGGGCACATGTGAAGCTAGTTGTTTTACCTTTTTACATCAGTAGGCGCCCAACCTGACTCATTTTAGTGTTTAGCGTTAATTGGGCAGTGGCCTGGGATGGTTTCAAAATTCCCAGCCTGAAATGATGTCCCGGTCCGCCCCTGGTCTGAACTGTAGTTTGGTGCATAAGCACAGACCACAGTCAGGATGTTTTTCTTCATAAGGGGTCTTTGGGCTGCTCCTTGTCTGATCCCTCACCTAGGACCTGTTTATAATGAGTGACCCTACCAGAGGCATAATGCCTCAGACAACTTAACTCCTAGGATCACTGGGACACTCAAACCCCTCCACCATGGTAAGGTGGCAGCCCTGTAATCTTTTTATTATTTTTCTTCTTCCTTTTCTCAAAGTGTATGTGCTGCTGTAGAAAGGGAATTTCCTCACTGTGGGATTAATAATGTTTTTTCTATTTTGTGGTAATGTGTGATTATGAGTAAATCCCAGTATTGTTTTCATGTCCTGGACCAATTGAGAATTCATATGTCAATGAGTCCTTCTGCTGGTGAAATAAAGGAATAATAATAATAATTTCAAGAAAAGTAATGATGACTTCATGGTGGTACCGAAGCAGCTGGGCCAGCAAAGGCGAGGCTCAGCAGCATCAGCAGTGGGATCAGCTCATCTCCTTCATCCACGTAAGGCATGCTGAGGTCTCGGTCATTACAGCGGAAACCCGTCTGAGCTGGCTGCACCACATCTGTTAGCTCCAGGAAGTACAGAGACACCATAGAAGAAGCCACAATAGGCAGCTGTAAAGAAGAAAGCAACAAAGAGTGGTCAAGTCACTATGAGCCACCAGGTTCTGGTTCTGTCCACAGTGATAAAGCAGCAGAACATGATGAATCTTAACAACTCAACTGTAACTCTGTGTGTAATGGGCCCTTGGTCTAGCCTGGTAAGCCATCAATTCAATCCACAGAGGTTTCAAACGAACGCCATTCCTGAGTTGACACCATGTTTGCTGTCTTTCTCCACTGCAGCTATAGCATTATGCCCCCTCAACAAATGTATAGCACTGTGACTGGCCAGACACAAAACTGTTTGGTCCAATGGTAGACTTGCTGAGGCTACAGCAGACTGACCTGCAGAGCAAGATCTTCTGGTACTTCTATAGTTGGTCTAGATTTCTAGGCTACTTTTGGTCTGGAATAAAAAAAACTAAAGAATTAAATAAGTGTAGCATTAACAATATTAACTTATACATTTAAAAGAGAAAACCACACCCAATGACCATAGGTTCTAGGGAGGAAAGAAGGTGAAGCAAAAATAAACCACTGCTTCAATAGAAATTACAAAGCTGGCATTTATTAAACAACCAAATTTAACAAAAATTTAAATCCCAATAACCTTTAAATCATTTGCCCTTAATCAGTTCAGTCTTAGTATGTTTAAAGTCCTTGAAACCCTTTGACTCCTCTGATTAGTCCAACCGAACAAATGAAGTAATCCTGGTGATTTATAAATCTTCGATTCAAAAATCTTCGATATATGCGGTCTATTTCACTTCAAATTTTATTCCAGCAATTCTATACAGCAGTGCCCAGATCCAGCATGCAAAGCCCAAGTGATCATAACAGTGCATGGTACCAAAGTAGCGAGCAGCAATGTCAATCGTGTGGCAGTAGTTTTTGTTCAAGTCCATAAAGACAGTGTGGCTCAGTGCAACGTTTACCATGCACAAGTTTCCCATGGTGGAACAGAACCAGGACAGTTTAATATGTCCAACCTCAGTGCAAATTTGAAGCGGTGTCACAAAGCACTGCATGACGATTATCGTAGTGTGTGAAACTGAAACTTTGGACACAACTTGTAGCAGTTTGTGAATGAACATTATTGTGTTTTTTTTCTTATGTCCCTGCCCTCAGCAGTTCCTACCATTTGCTGACAGTAAAACATAACTGAAGGGACCGGTATTTTGTACTATAAAATTATATCTTGAGGTGGCATGTATGTGCGGTAAGGCACCTGTCCAGTCTCAGTCTTAACAACAAATGATCTGGGTCCCACTTCTCTGAGAACAGTCGCTTTCTTGTCCCAGTAATCTGGTCCTTCAATCCTTATCACATCTCTTTCCTGAAGCGGATCCAGATGTTTTAGCGCCTGGTCGTAGTTCTTTTTCTGTCTTTGCTTGAGTTTCATCCTTTTGTCATGCAGCTCATTGTCACGTTCATAAGAACTGTTCTTGAAGATGTGTGGAAGAGCAGTACGCAGCTTGCGATGCATTAACAGCTCTGCAGGCGAAGTCCCACACTCCAGAGGTGAAGCCCTGTAGCTCAGGAGAGCTAAACATGAGTCTGTTTTACTGTCTCTTGCTTTTTCCAACAGTCTCTTCACAACTTGGGCACCTTTTTCTGCTTGTCCATTACCTTGTGGATATAAAGGACTGGAGGTAACATGTTGAAATCCATATTGCGTTGCAAAATCCTTAAATTCCTTATTGTGGGCCATTATCACTGACAACACAAAGAGGAATCCCGTGTCGTGCAAAGAATCCTTTCATGTGTGTGACGACAGACTGCTGATGTACTGGAAAGCTGAACAACTTCTGGATAATTAGAATAGTAGTCAATCACCAGAAGAAAATCCTTGCCATCCAGATGGAATAAATCAGTTCCCACCTTTTCCATGGAGCATCTGGTAGTTCTGCCACCAACATCAGCTCCTTTGTTTGTTTGTAGTGGTGTTTAAGACATGTTTCACATTTTTGTGTAATTTCTTCAATATCCATGTTGATGCCTGGCCAGTAAATGGCCTCTCTTGCCCGTCTTTTACATTTCTCCACTCCCAGATGTCCCTCATGGATACGTTGAAGCATGTCCTTCCGCATGGCTCGAGGGATGACAAACCTGTGCTGTCTCATCATCAGCCCATTAACCATGCACAACTCAGCACGGAAAGGGTAAAATCCTGGACACTCTCCCTTTGACCAACCATTTTGGATATGGTGAGAAACTTTCTGAAGCAGGGGATCTTCAGCTGTCCCTTGAATGATCTGTTGTTTCATGACATCTGTTGCTGGTAGTGAAGCAGTCACCATGTTTATGTGTGCTTCAGCATCCTCTGCTGCTAAGCTGTTCAATCTGTCACAGCTTGGTGCCAGTGCTCGTGATAAAGTATCCACCAGCATGATGTATTTTCCTGGTGTGTATATCAGCTCAAAGTCATAACGCTGCAACATCAACATCATGCGTTGAATACTGGGTGACATGTCATTGAGATTCTTCTTTAGATCGCAATGAGGGGTTTGTGATCAGTTTCTGCAATAAAGGTTGGTAGTCCATATACATAGCTGTGAAATTTTCCACATCCATATACTAACCCTAAAGTCTCTTTTTCAGTTTGAGCATAGCGTTGTTCTGTTTCTGTCACTGATCTGGACGCATGTTGCCATCGTTTTCCATTCATTTGAAGCAGTACAGCTCCCAAGCCATCTTTTGAGTCATCTGTAGAGATTTTTGTTGGTTTGGATGGATCAAAGAATGTTAGGACTGGCTTATTTGCTACAGTTTCTTTTAATCTCTTCCATTTTCTTTCATGTCGATCTATCCATTCAAACACTGTTTTTCTGCAGCAGCTCTCTGAGACATGCAGTCTTGGAGGAAAGATTAGGAATGAACTTACCCAAGAAGCGTCCAGTTTGCTAAAATATTTAGCCCCTGTCATTTCACTCAGTATTTCTTCTCGCTTTGGTATCTGATAATGTTCCCTTTTAATATTTTCATTCAGATCTTTGGGATCAAGACAGACTCTAAGTGCTCCTGTGTTCTTTTTCCTGACACATGTGACAGAGTTCACCCAGTCTGTGGGCTCCTCTACTTTTTCAATGACACCCAACTGAGTCATTCTCTCTAGTTCCTTTTTTTAAACCTGCTTTGAGTGGAGCAGGCACTCTCCTTGGTGCATGCACCACAGGTACAGCATCATCTTTGAGCTGGATTTTGTAGGTATAAGTTAATGTTCCATGACCTTTGAAGACAGAAGGAAATTTGTTAATGTCTGTACTTCTTTCTTCTGTTTTGTTTTCCAGTCTTTTTCCTGTTTTGACTATTTTCATGCTGTCTGTATTGATCTGATAGATCCTCTTCACAAGTCCTAGGTCCTCAGATGTTTTATCACCTAGAAGTGACTCATGTCCATCAGGCATAATGGTGAACAGTATGTTATGCTATTTGCCTTTTGTAGCCACTTTAAGTCTGTATCCACCTTTTGTTTGTATTGGCTGATTATTATAAGCCTTCAGCGGTGTGATGTTCCTTGTAATTATTTTAGCCTTCTCAGTCAGTGCCTTAAAATCGTTCTCACTGATGTAGCGTTATGAAGCTTATAATGGTCTGCCCTTAACAGCTGCCCCTTCACACAGTAACATCACCAAGGTCGGACGCTTGGTTCAGTATGTTTACATTCCAGGAGAAGAGACAGAAGAAGAGAAGAAGAACGCTTTTCCTTTAATTAAAGTGCTTTATTTGTGATAAGCTAATCAAAGCATATGTTGATCATTAATAATCAGGTGAATGATCTGTGAAATAAAGATGTCATGAGTTATGTGTTTAATGAATAAACAGGACTGCACCAGACAGACTGATCTACATTACCATGGAAACGCATGACACATTATTCTCAACCAATCAGAACTTTCGTCTGTGGTAGGGCAGAATCTGGGTTGTTTAATGAAAGTCGTCCAATCCGGTTTACTGAGATTTGTAAACAGTTAGTAGATATAAAATAAGGCAACGCCATTTTATAGTCAGTTCCACGTTAACCAGTTCCATGTTAACCTCAGCTCCAGTACATCCGAGGTCCTAGGGATTTCCATCGTCATCATTAAGAAGTTACAGGCTGGCCAGCTGTGCTTCCTACTTTGAGCTGAACTGTCGAGCTGGAAATTTCTGTCGTTTGAACAACAAGACGACGGTTCCTTCACAATAAGAGCTAAACCCGCCGGACTACTACTACCGGAGCTATCCGTAGACTGGTTTGTCGTGCTGCACTACTGTTTCATCAGCCCAGCACCAAGGGGGGTTCTAGGACCTGACACTCCTGATCTGACCGCGGGAGACTCCATGGGTACGTCGTCACGGCACAAAATTGGCGGCTCATGTCATCAGCTTCTGAAGCCTCGTGGTAGCCTAGTCATAACAACCAGATTCGCTACGTCAGCCTAGAGATTCTGAACAAAACACACACACACACACACACACACACCAACACGAAACATCCAAATCCATATGCATCCATCACTGAGATAGTCCTGGTAGATTGTAAGAATTTATAATTATAGAAATTAAAGATTCTTAAACGATCCCAACTCTCTCTTTTCTTGTCTCTCAGTCAATACAGAGTGTTTAAGTAAACTCCCTGGTGATAAAAACGACCTCTTCTGATTAATTACTTAGATCTAATTACAGTGTATACATATACAAAATCAGATCATTACATTATCTAATTACAGTATATAAATATACAACTTCAGATATTACACTGATCAGGTTAGCTTTGGCCCCTGTATCAGTTCTGAATGTAATGACTGACCCATTGACTAACAGTGGAGCAGTCCATTTATCTTCTGTTACTACACAAACCACTGACTCAGACTTGTTTACTTCTGAAAGTTGTGATTTTATATCCTCTGACACCATTGTAATAAAGAATGAGTCACTTAAATCATCACTGCAATCTGAGTTTTCCTGCACTGTGTGAACTTCTTGTCCTTTTTGGAAGGACACATTTTTGCAAAATGATTATGTCCTTT